TGAGAGGAGGGGGGGGAGGGCGGGAGGGATTTTGAAGGCCGACTTGACTGGCAAAGGGCCAGGATGACCTCTTTCTTGCTGCAAGCCTCACACGAGACTCTGCCGCCTTCCATGGCGCGAGTCTAGCGACCAGGAAGTGGACAGACAGTCCATAGTCGAGGACGCTCTGGATCTTTGTTTGTCCGATGCCCGCCACAGTAGGGTGTTCTGCCATACAACACAAAATAATCCAGTTCCATCAATACACACACAACCCTTCACACGAGGGACTACAGAGTGTTTTTGGCTTACAGCACTTGCTGCTCTCTTGTCTTAAACCGAAAAACAATCGACAACGGCAGGATTTGAACCTACGCGGGAAAATCCCAATTGATAGTAGCCACGTGTAGTAACTTAGAATCGGATGAATTCTAGTCAATCGCCTTAACCGCTCGGCCACGTTGTCATGACTTTCGCGGCTCAATAGGCAAATATCACATACAGTTTTCAAAACATGTCGAACAGGAATGTGACGTGCACCAGGTCGCAAAAGCACACATAGCACAATTCAGGTCAAGCATGTCTGTCAACATCCGGAGAAAAACATTCAAAATGTTATTTTATGGATATGTGTTGTTAAGTTTTATCAATTTTATTTTATGTGGTTTGAGTTTAAATTTTCTTATAAACACATATTTAGTTCAAGTCTTGTCTACGCATCTAGAATTCATAGACATGGCATGTGACATGTCAATTTAGTATAAATAGTTCACATGTGGGAAACCTAAGCAAGTATAGTATACAGGGGGATAGATGCGTGATCTCAGGCCCATTAGAGTACCCCCTTGCATGCACTACTACATATCTCCAAATTACCTGGAATCTCAAGCTCCTCTCTGAAATCCACCCCCCAGAAACCAGCCATAACAGCCAAGTCCCATCAGCCCTGACCACATCTTGGCTTGGCGTCCAGAGGACCATAACACCACACCCACACAGTCTCTAACCTCCCCGCTGGCCCGGTACATCACCCACCCCAGCCGTGTCATATCACACATAATCATCACCCCGCAAGCCGGACATAGGACATGGCACACCAACAACGGCACACCAGTGAATCAGCAAGAAAAAGAAAAAAAAAGCAAGCCAAGCCATTGCACACCAAAATGAAAACCAATGCTGCCAGCCTCCCCGTACAAAATACACCTGCTCCATTACATTTCATGTCCCTGTAACTACTTATAACACCTTTGCATTTTTTTTTTTTGAAACCATTACCTTTACTACACTTGGAACTAATTGAAATAACACATTTAACTCCAGTTTTGAGATTTCCACGTTGCAAAGAAAAGAAACAAAAACATCCAACAAGTATATAGAGACTAGCATAACAAAGAAAAGGAAGATAACCGGAGCTGCCAGGGGGTTGAGATCAACCCAATTTATTCCTAACCCTTGTGCCGTCTTGCGCATCATTTTCCATCAATGAGATTAAATCATCCTCAGCATCCTCACCATCATCTACATTGTGGAACTACTCTGAGGGGAGTAGAGCTTGGAGGGGAAATAGACAACTACACTACTAGTAATGTAAG